GAACAACTATCAGCTGATCTATTGAGCTTATTCTTAGCTATCACTCTAAATCTTTCCTTTCTTTGTTTTCTAGACAAATCATCAGTGATCTGCAGACAAGCAAACGGAGTGAGCTGAGGGCAATTTAACTGCCGCCTTCTGTGTCAGTTCCCCAGAAGTCAATGAGGCATACTATCGGGTCTCCAAGGTACATCCCAGAGATTATTTAGTCATGCTGTACAATTAGCAAATGATTAGAACAAGCTTTTTTCTTCAATTATATTAAGGTACTTGCAGCAGTGAGAGCTGTTACACTTTATGGTAGACTATACCTTTCAGAACGACGTGTACTAGCACTTCATAATGGTTTGTCAACTCATCAATTGACCAAGCGGCACAGGGGTCTTAGGTACAAGGAAGAGACTATTATGAAACTCCACCCATCTCACTTCGGTAAATCCAGTAAAAACATCTGAGCTACAAAATTCACAGAAGTATCTGAACACTGGTTTTCATCACAGGCATTTTATGTATTTCAAGACACACCTTTACAAAAGGAAATCAAGAAAATAGTGCAGAGTCTGCATTAATCAAATGATTTCAAGTATATAAACTTAAAATGATGCCTTCTAGTAGGCCATGTGAAAATCTCAATTACAGAAATCATTTTTCCAGGTTTTACGTGCTATTTTATGTTCCCAGCAGGATGTTTTTCATCTCATCAGGAGTTTCCAAGGCTGTTTAGTGTTTCTATATATGCAAAACATACTTAAGTGCCACGAAAAGACCTGCTAATTAAAAAAGCCTAGTAAAGTGGTCAGACAGACTGGAACTTGAGTATTATAGGTAAGAGGGAAGAAATGAAGGCTTGGAAACTATAATTTTTCTTTCTGTGGTAGCAGCAGAAGCAGCTGTTATAGGCTGAGCAAATTAAAGATGTGGCTGACAAAGCCAACAGTCTGGAAACAAGACGTTGCAAAAACATAACAGCAAGTCATATGCACCCCACTTTTAAAAAGCCAAAAGTGCTGACCACTTCTTTTTCTCCCTCCCTTCCTGTTATCCTCGTCACTCACAAATATCCTCCAGTTGGTATCCTTCCAACCTTGCTCAACAGCTCTAATTTCCCACCCCCGTCTTGGGGAGTTAATAATTCCTCAGACTTTCGACATGTGCTCCATCATAGTGGGAGTTGTCAGCAAACAAGAAAGGATACTTCTAAAGGAAGAACAGGTGAAATAACAAGAGATACTGTTGTTCTGTGCATTTATTTGTGCATGAGTTGTTCATCAAAAACGAAAAGAATTCGTCTTGTACTTAACAGTAATTATCAGTCTTAGAAGACAGCTTCAACTGCTCAGTAAAATCAGTGTCTAGACATAGAAAGTTCTCAAATCCAAAATCAGAAAAATTACTTCCTGTTTCTAGTTCGGTTACCCTCATTCTTTTTAAAAATCAGTTGAACCTGATTGTGCTATGAACAATGTGGATCTATACTGTTTTCCAGCTCTGAAAAGTGATGGAGGCTTAGTGAATTTTTGCAAATATATAGATATATTAAAAACAACAACAACAACAACAACAACAAAAACATAAAACCCAGGGAACTTAATCTTTCCTTATAGCTGGTTGGGCTATAGACCTCCTGTTAGAATAAACATTTTGCTTAGCTTTAAGGTCAGCGTTGTTGTGAATTGCAATTACTCTCAATTCACATTAGCATAAATCTGCATACTATTTTAGAGCTCAGATTTTACCTAATGAATGAATATCCTGTGATCTATTTCCTCCATGTCTGTTTGGACTCAAAGTAAACTCATCGATTCTGATCTGCAGCTGATGCATTTAAGTGCTGCCATTTCAACACTTCTCTAACAATGTACTTCATTTTGCTGAATTGAAGCATTGCACTGAATTTGAGGCACACTGACAATTTATACAAGCAAATTAGATGCCCCATTTCTTATCAGAAATGAAACAAATTTAACCTTTAAAGGTGGCATGGGGCCTTTTCCTGATGCCTTCACATGAAAACAAATAGAGTGTCATTTAGCGTTTCCATTCAAGTGAAAGAATGAGGAAACAGCAAAATAATTCTGAAGGTTAAACGTCATATTCAGTACCGTTTTGTTTTCGTTCCCTCCCTGTTGTGAGAGTGGGTATCGCAGGAGGTGCTCTGCCTCTCCTCCCACGCTGCTTCCCTGCTTCATAAGCAGAAACCAGCTGTTGGTTTTTCAAGTCTAGCGGTTAGTTGACATTTACCATTAGTTGATGCTTTTCGTTCTATTGTAGCACGGAAAAGAGCTAAAAGTTTACTCTGAAGAGTAAAGATTAAATCTTTACTTTTCTAATGCTCCTGCAGTGGAGGGACCTGCCACCAAGGTTTTGTTGCATAAGGCGGGACAAAAAGATGAAGTGCTGCACCAAAGCAGACAACTGAGCAGTTCTGGCTTTGCTGTTGCTATTCTGTCCCACAGACAACACTTCACTGCAACTCCTGATCAGCAGCACTGATGTTGTTTCCTTCTCAGCCCCAGTCACTGAAGGATGTAGTGTAGAACACCGATTACATTATTGATTTGACAAACTTGGCAGTGTACTTAGCAATTGCCATTAAAACCAAAAACTCCTGCGTATATACCCATAAGTCAGCAACTGATGCCAAAGGTGGCAGAAATGAGGAAGAGCTCTAAGACACCTCACAGAAAACATTGCATTTCTAGAGCGAGGAAAACATTAACCCAACTAAAACCTATGCTGAAAAGGCATCATATCCTGCAAGCAACGGCACTGCAACCGGGCTGTCCAACTTAATTGTAAAATAGACACAGATACTGATCTAAGCTTTGCATTTCTGAAATTTATTGCAAAAAAAACCCCCACCGTTATGAATTTTAAATACACAAAGTTCACATAGCCAAGTGAAGATACAATACAGTGGTGTCACAACTGTTATTTCAATAACAGGGCACACATCCTAAAATTATTTTCAGACAAATAGGTATTTTGAATTCATACTGAAAATACAGAGTTGGCTCTTCTTAAAGGCAAGTTCATACACAAAAGAACCAGGAAACCAGAGGTGATCTAATGAAGAAAATTCCCCCAAAATCAGGAGTTTGAAACAAGTGACCTGTAGCCATTAACAGCCTACTGAAACCTTCAGTGGGAAATTAACCTCACAAGTTAACCAGCGAGAAATACTATGTTTATTTAATGGTCTTCTACAGAGCAGAAAACCAGAGTTGTAACCTTTTATCTGGTGATATTTACTAACAGAACTTTAAAGAGGCAATATTAACAGGACTGCTGTAGATACGAGAAGGAACTTGGAACGTGCAATTATTGGATGGCTCCGAACTTTATCTGATCTGCTTCAGAGCCACAGAAGAAAACCATCCCAGACAGCTCAGTACAGAGAGTGTCAGAAAATAACACTGTTTCTTTTCTAGGTCTAGGTCATTTGAAAACATACATGACTAAGTATGATTTCTACCCCTATATCAAAGCTCTCAGGATTGAAGATTGTGTAGTCAGTTATAAAGCTCATACTGGCTCAACGTCCACGGAACTCAGTAGTGCAGCTGTTCACTGCACATGTTAAACAATCAAAGCTAAGAACTATAGAAAAAAGCCAAACTAAAATCAAGGACCTGAAGTGAAGAATTTCATATAGGCAACTAGAAAAGAATGGGAAAACAACCTTTTCTCCAAGTCAGCAAGCTGAAAGCATTAAGAGAAAAGCAGTTTGCCTCAAACCACACACAAGAGGTCTTGAACATTACTTTTATTGTCTATTGCACTGATGGGGCACTAAATTTTTCTAAACAGTATCCTAATCACACTTGCAGCTCCAGCCAACAAACATCTGAGTGCCACAGCAGCCTTTCAAGAGAAAGCTTCAGCACTGTGAGGTGTTTAAAGAAAAACTGAAATGTTTCAAAGAGATCAAATACTCTTTGGTGTTACCTCCTCATTCCCTCCAATTAGAAATGGAAAACATCTTTTCTGGAAAGTAGGCAGAACCTGTTTTTAAAAATAAAGGAACTGAAGAAAAGAGAAGAAAAGCCCCAAACTTTAAATACTATGGAAATCCACCTGGATGGACAGCTGTATCTGTTTCTTTTTTGCAATATAGTCATTCAGAAATGCACCAAAAATATTTTGGTAATACTGAGAAAAAAACCAAATTACTAAAAATGAGGTACATCTCAGGGGAACATGATCCAACCGTCACCTCTCTTTCCTCAGTGATGTAAACTTTAAAAAAAATAATCAGACGTGTGTCAAAGTACATCTTTAAAAAAAATCAATATCTTAGTATGCATACTAAATCTTTTGGAAGATTTTACTGACTGCATTTAGAATTTGTACATCAAAAGAGATGCTGTAATAGCTACAATAAAACCAAGGTTTTACAAGTTTTTGTATGAACTGAAGGGAGGGATTCAGAGATTGGTTTTTCTTCCATAAAGAGCCACTTTAGCTTTATTAACAGAATTCTCTCCTCCAGTTTGAGTCGGTTTTGGGGGGTTTTTTTTGTTTGGTTTGTTTTTCAGCAGCACTCACATGAGGGGATTAATTCTAGTTTTTGCTACACAGAAATAGAGCAAAACATCAGGTACACGTACGGCTGCACAGACAGCCAAATGCTTCTGTGCAAATCTCAGTGGATTAAATACAAGAATTTTCCATTGCTCCAGCCACAACTAGCGTCCTTCTGTCCATACATGTACAGTTGTGACACTTAATTGCAAAGAATAATTGCTACATATTTGCTATGGTCTACTTCTTTACTAGACTGCATAAACAAGGGATCTGTGTCTTACTGCATTTCAGAGAGAGAAAGAGAGAGAGAGAGAAGTTTCACCAAGCTTTTATTGTGTGTTATAAAGAAAGGTATGTCCACATTATTTTTATTTGCCTTTGGGGAAGGAGTTCATGGCAAATGAAAGAGGAGGAAAAGTCTCAGGCAGCAGTTGTTTTTCTTTTTTGCAGATAGATAGTAGTCTGATAGTTAAGACTTTCACAGAATATTGAAAACCCAGGTTTCCAGGCCTTTCTCCAAAACTAACAGGACTCGGACATTCCAGAGGCACACCAAAAACACCAGGCTATCAACCATTCTGGGACAGCAAGGGGTCTTTTTTCTTTTCTTCACGCAAAAGGCCTTCCCAGAAAAACGTCCATTGAAAAATGTTACTTCAAGATACCTTAGGTGTTCCCCACAGGAGGAAAAACAGATTAAATTTTCAACCAGTTAGTTGCAGTCTTGTTTATGCCTGTAAACAAGAGGGAAAAACCTCTAGCTTAATGAGAAAAAAACCCAAACATTCTCTCTACAAAGTTCTAGTAATACCTTTAATCATATAACAAGCTTAATGCATTACACATTAATTTGTTCAATTAACACAGTTGGACTTTAAGATCAAACAGAGAAGACTGTGATCCAACAAAAGTGTGTTATAAAAATACTGCATAAGACATGCCAAGTATTATTCAATGCTTGAACCCCAACAAAATGCTTCCCCCCTGAGACAGTTGGTGTTTTGTCTTCCTTTTTGTTATTTTTAAGTGGTCACATCAGTTCTACTGCTTTGTAAAACGCACTCTTGTTTCTTATTTCTGTGCATAATAGTTCTTAGGACACACTTTCTTGTGATGGTAATAGTTGAGAACAAACTATTTTACAGAAGATCACAAGCATCAGAGGATTGCTGTGTGGATGAAATACATGCTGGGCAGACCTATCATGGCAATAGTATACAAAACACTGCAATGCTTGGTATTCTTTCTGCTCTGAAGGGGTCTCACATCAGGCAGAGTAAACTAACTCACTTTCTTTGCTGTTGAATGACTTTTCCTAGCACCCTTCATTTCAATGCAGTTTATATTTTAAAGTTCTGGAGAGACTGCTGCAGCTATGTAAGGGCCATGTAAAATGCAGCTGTTCCACACACTACAGGAGAAAGGCAACCACTTAGGGGGACCTCTATACCTTCCCTTCCTCACATAACCAACTAAAGTCCATTATAATTAGTGCAGTATGAAGAAACTAGAAGGTGGCTAATCTAAAGCTATACAGTTGTAGCCTCATTTAGGAAATGCCTCCAGGCTTTCTTAAACATTTAGTAGTACAACTAGATCACAGAGCAAAGCTAATATTCAAATCAACATACTCAAAAGGCATAAAAAAAAAAATCCTTTTCTGTGCATTATTAAGCCCACATTATCTTCTCTAACAGAGTGCTTCTAGGAATTTGAGAATCATCTTTTTTTCTATCCTACAGGCTGAGCTGTATACTGTTGACAGTGACTACAAATGTATGTTGCAATAATACGTCATCATCTGAAATCTAGGCCTTATTTTACTAGATCTCATTTATACAACTATGCACACACACACACACACACACACACACGTGAATTTCAGAGCAGATAGGTAATGAAGATTAGAAGTAATGGCCACAAATAGTTTGGAAACAGAAAAATGGTCCCTTGATTCCCAAAGGGATTGAAGCCAAAAGCACATTTCCTGCAACTCACAGTGATTCCAGTACACCGGAATATCACTCACATCTGAGAGGACATAGGAAAGAATTGATAACACTGTGAATTTCAAAAGCTGAGTTTGGAGAGAATAAGTATGCAGCTTTTTCATCTTCCTGCTTTTATTTAAGCTAGCAGGGCTAAAAACATTAGCGTTTGGTTTACACTGGACAGTTCTGATTGAGGTAGATGGAAATGTCACTAGCCCAGCTATTCTGAAGCTTTCTTTACTATATATTTTTTAAAAACAACGCAGATGGAGTGTAAGTCCTATCATTCATCTTTAAGGACAAAGTAAAGAGTAAATCTAAGGCTGGTATCATCAACATGAAATTCCAACCTTTAAACTAGGCCCTTCAGGTACCAGTGGAGCATGAACTGCAATACAAGCTATAAATTCAGTTCTTGGGTGATGAATTTATGCTAGGTTTCCTATGATCGTTGTTTATACTGAATTCAAGTTTTATTAAGCTTTTACTGCCCTGTAAGAACAGTCCCATGGAACAGCAGGAGAAACAACAGAGCTAAACACCTAAAAATGCTTCCGTAGGTGGTTTTTAATTCTCCTCTATATACACACTGAAATCTTGACTATAGTTAAAGAAACAAATTTGGTGAATAGAAGGTTTGGACCGTTAGTTTTGTTACCCCTTATGTTGCTTTAGGTACTAGATAATTCTTCCTTTATGTGGGATTCAAGATGTCATTATTACACCCTCGAGCCTAAGTGCCAAATGATTTCCTTGCTGTCCAACAGCTTACAGCACCACACCACACAGCAGAACAGGAATTTGTGGAATCCAGTTCATGATGGCAGCTGGGACTGCACTGCTACATCAAGAAGGGAATTGAGCTCTCCTCAGAGTTTTAATAGTTTAAAGAACATACCCACAGCTTTTAGCAGAAAAGTAACAGCTATGTTGGTTTCCTGAAGGAACTGGAGTTCAAAAGACCTATTAGAAAAAAGTTGTCTAAGTGTATCATATGCTTGCATGCCGTGAAGACAATCTGTATGTTCATTCCGAATTTAAAACTCAGTTGAGCATGGAGAATGATTTCATTTCACCGGTTATTCAGAAGTTACCTCTTAAATAGGAAATTAGTGCTATACCTAAACCATTTATTTTATTTTTGACAAACCTTTTTCATGAGTAGAGATTTTTCATCAATTCATACTCTGATCTTAAAGTTTGCAACAACGTTAACCGTTACTTCTCTTAAGTTGTCTTTTGCATTCATGTTGTCCCTTAGAGGGGTTTTGCAGCAATAATTGTAAGAAAATCTATTCACTTCCTTTTGACTGAATTGTGTTGTATGACAGGGAAGTGACTACTTGCAACCTTGATCCACACCAGCTAAATACAGCCAGGCAAGATCAAGTTTTTACCATAATGGTTCTCATGCCCTCTTCTAGCTTTTTCCAAAACCTGAGCACACCATTAGACATGTTTCTTTTCCATACAGTTAAGTCACAGGATTGTGGCTTACTAAAAAAACTCAATCATCTCTGCTGATTCCTGTAGGACTATAGGCACCAGATTGTATTACTGTCATTTTTTTCTGACCAGCACATCTTCCTAGCACTTCTAACTGCTCTCAACTAAATTGTTACTTAATTCTTCAGCTTTTTAGTTTCTTGTAGTAACTACTCTCTTTACAAGAAACTGTTTTTTTGTTTTGTTTTGTTTTCTGATGATTATGCTGTTACAGTAGTTTTCAGAGTACAGTTGAGGAGCACATTCAGTATTGCCTTAAAGACTGTAAATTTTCCATTTGGAGTCTCTGAAGTAATATCAGTAATAGATAACGCTGTGGTTAGGAGTCCAGTACTTGTTTTATGATCCTGATAACATAAGTGACGTTACAGAAATTAGTTCCTATGCTGTTCAGATGCTGAGTTTCACATCTGTTAACATGGGCAAAGATATGACCACTTCTGAAATACTTTTCATTTCGAAGCTTGTTCACTTCCTAAAATCATCTGATAATTCTGCTCAGTCCAGCTGATCATTAGGAAGACCATTAAGATCAAGTATACGGAGAAAATAAATGCAAATACACTGCAGATTTTTCTTCACCATTTACTCTGAGTTTTCCCCTCAGAACAAGTAGGAACTTTAACAGGCAAAGATTACATCCACGAAACAAAAACACCAGACTTTTCTCTCCATGTCTGCAACACCTCAGAAGTACAAGCACTTTGGTTTGTGAGAAGATGTTAGGATATTCCTAAGCTTTCCAAGGCTCTTATTATTCTTACAAACACTTCCAGTAGTTTGAAAGAGTGCATTAAGCATAGGTGCTTGATTTCTAGGTAAATCCTGGTTTTCTGTGGCGTTCAAAAATGAGGCAAAGTCCTCGTCTATCAACCAAACTGTTGTCAATATGGGTGCTATAAACCACCATTTTTCAAAAATCACAAGCAGAACTCTGGTACTCAGTCACTTCCAACAATATTTTTGGCATTTCACAAATACAAATTCGATGCTGTCAGCACAGTCACATGAGCTCATTTCATCTTGCATGGAAAGAAAGACCAAAAAAAAAAAAAAAAAGAAAAAGTTGACCTCATATTCACACGCCTGGAGTGCATCTCAACATAAGTAATGTGATTAACTGTGTAATGTAATTAACTGTGACCTATGTGCAGAGACAAGTCTGCAATCAGAATTTGGGAAGTTCAGCACATGAAGTCATACCTCTCAATATTGTATGTGCTTGATTTGTCAGTAGTTTGTCACTAGGCAGTTTTAATGACTATTAATAGACAGTAACAAAAAGCAATCACGTTCATCACAAAGGATTTGATAATGATACCTGTGACATATCAAGGAAAAAAATCTAAGGTAGGAACTAGAAGTTCAAGAAATCTTATTTTACTGTTTATTTCTGTTGTGCTATCAAGCAAAAAAAATGGAACAAAAAAGAGACTTAAGTACATTGGCAGGATAATAAAGGATTACAATTTTATTAAATGTAAGAGGAATTTGCACTTCGGTTGAGGTAATCCCAGATATGCAAACAAAGTGGGAGAACTCCTTGAGAGTAGCCATGCTGAGAAGAACCGTAAGGGTTCTGGTTGATGAAAAACTTAACATGAACCAGCAGTGGCACCTGCAGCCCGGAATACCAATGGGACCCTGGGTTCCATCAGAAGAGGGGTGGCCAGCAGGGTAAGGAACGCGATTGTCCTCCTCTATTCTGCCTTTGTGGTGCCACATCTGGAATACTGCATCCAAGTCTGGGTCCTCAACACAGGAAAGATGTGGAGCTGTTGGAGAGGGCTACGGAAATGATTAGAGAGCTGAATCACCTCCCCTGTGAAGACAGGCTGAGGGAACCAGGCTTGTTGAGTCTGGAAAAGAAAAGACTACAGAGAAACCTCATTGCTGCCTTCCAATATTTAAAGGGAGTTCATAAATATGAGGGAAATCAACTCTTCGCAAGGGCAGATAGTGAGAGGACAAGGGAGAATGGTGTTAAACTAAAGGAGAGGAGATTTAGCTTAGATGTCAGAGGGAAGTTTTTCACTGAGAGAGCGGTGAGGTGCTGAAACAGGTTGCCCAGATAGGTTGTAGGTGCCCCATCCCTGGAGATGTTTAAGGCCAGATTGGATGAGGTCCTGGGAACTTGATATAGTGCTTGATCTAGCAGCTGGCAGCCCTGCCTGTGGGGGAAGGGAGGGGAAGTTGATGATCCTCCCTTTCAATCCAAGACATTCTGTGTTTCTATT